TTAATTGTGTTAGAGTCTGGTGAGACTCTGCTGGAAAAGTAACAAACACAAAGCTTTAGTGAGCGAAAATCCAGTGTAATGGCAGCGGGCACGATTTGCGCGCAAGTTTGGTTTGACGGCATTATTCAAATCGCATTAGAAAACGCGTCTTAGGCACCCCCAACAGCCGACACCCGAAAATCGCCGTTGAAGATGCTCGGTTTAACGAGATGCGTGTGCCGGCTGCTCACAGCGGAAACGTGATGCAAAGTAATGCAAAGTGATACTAAGTGGTGGAAATTATGTGAGACTTAACACTTCAGTACGTTTTAAGTATTTGTGCGGATTTACAATAAAATAAAACAAAAACAAAAGATTTGCATTTATTAAAAACTAACTTTTACCCGCGATTTTGCCTCGGTAGTGTTTAATAAAAATGTAATTCGTTCTTACTCTCTTGTTCTAGACATAGTATGTGTCAATTCTATCAATAAAATTCGCAATTTTATTTTATAGAAATGAATTATATAAAGAACTAGCTTTAACCCGCGGCTTCGCTCGCGAATATCTAAAATAATGAAGTTGCTTCCGTACGCGTCTGTAGTCACAGAAGAAGTAACAATGAAGTAGAATGGCGGGAAGTTTAAAATGGCTGAAAGGTATTGTCTATGGAAGTATAGTGTACAGTCTCCATAGTGTAGTCAATTGGATTTGATGTTGACGTAGGGGTCGGTAATACAGTGTGATAAAACAGTGTGATGGTACTATAGTACTTAAGTTTGAGCTTCATTGCTGGAATGCTAGATGGCGTTAAAGTAGTCAAATAGCCAGATGCAGAGGTATTATTGTCTAAACAATTTCTTTATTTTATTTAATAAATATTTTTTTTATTAAATAAAAAGCCTATAACCATTCGGGGACCACTAAGAATATGTGTACAAATTTTCATGATGATCGGTTAAGTAGTTTTTGCGTGAAAGTGTAACAAACATCAGGACTTTCGCATTTATAATATTAGTAGGGATTGCTAATAATGCACTTCACGCGCCATCTTGTATTCAACTATTTAACTATAACTATGATTGAATCTCATTGCCAACTTTTATCCTATAGAAAAAGGCTGTCTTTAGGGTTTTCCCGGCAATTATTCAATTTTTTTCTCGACGTAAAAACCATCCTTGGACTTCCACAAACATTTTCAACAAAGAATTGGCCAAATTGGTCAAAGCGTTGTTGAGTTATGCGCTTACCAACAGATTTTGCGATTCATTTTTATATTATACATATACATAGCTAATGTTGGAGTTGACGTATATGTATCAAACATAACATGTAAAGGAATTACAGGAAAATATTTATGCAAGAATGCAAGTTTTGGAATTTGAATTTTTCATATGTTCACAATATGCACATGCCATACTAGTTCGTAATGGTAACTGTTATCTATATTATTCCCGGAATTTGTTGTCGCATATTTTAAGTGCCTGCATACTTTCCGGGCACGTTTTACGCGTAGGTTTTCTCCCGAAGGCGCAAATGAGACTTGACACCAATTCATCAATAAAATATGACGTGCATAAATTGATCCCAAAATGGATACTCGACGACTTTTTAAATAAATTATATCTCCTCAAATGCTCACAGAGAAGCAATAAAACTAAATGTAGTTTTGCATTTTCAAACGTTTTCAATTACTTTGGGACTTGAAAAATGCTTAAATATTTACTTCCGGTTTTAAAGTGAATTTCAAAGTCTATTACTTTACAAACCAGCATCTCATTGGCATTTTAAGCTTACGTAAGCTTGAAAATACGAACGTGTTTTGGTAACACACGTTTAGTTTTAGGTTTTCTGAAGTCTCCCGAGACTCAGCTTTGAGTTTTTTTTTTGTTTTTGTTGGTATTTGCCAGTATGTAGTGAATTAGCTACGTCCTGCATCGAAAGCTTTGCTGCAGTGACGTAAATCTTTTCTTGATAAAGCGAAATATAAAAGTTTTACGGTAAAAAGTTAGAAAAAAGCATGAAAAGCTGTGAAAAGTTTTGTAAACAAAAATTACAGTTTCCAACAATATTAGGTTTTATAAATATTTTATAACAATTTAAAAACAAAACAGTTTAGGGTAAAACATTAGAAAGTTTTGAGTATTTGCTAAAAGTATTTAATTTTTACTCATTAAAATGTTTCATTTTTTGCCTCATTAGTATCTCTGGCTAAATCTACGTTTGCGGCATCATTACGGTGCTTACATTCAATTAAAATGTTTTATTTAAAGAAACACTCGTTAGATGGCGCTACTTGCCAAATATATTACATAAACTTCAATATAAAATTTGCAGTTTTGTTTTAAAAAAATTAATAAAAACTAATAATGCACTTTTACGCCATCTGGGAGGCAAATATTCAACTATAATTATGATTAAATGGCCATATCAACTTTCAACCCTTATTTTACACCCTGTACATCATAACTTTGAATATTTTATTAATTATTCTTTTTTTTTAAGTCAAAACGTATCCAATAAACCAAAAATCATCAAAATCTATCCATCCGTTCTTGAGTTATAAACGTTGTAACTAACACTTTGTGTTTTTTTGCAAAAATACTGCACAAAATATTTACCCAACTACCATCTGTGCCCTATTATATTAATCTAATCAGGTCAAGGAACCCGCAACATTTGGCTAATTAAAAACAAAAAGAAACATCACATCCACTAATGATATAATGTTCTCCATTATCTTCCATTATCTGTATCTCGTTATCGCGAAATATTTCGTGATTTGCACGCGCTGGCAATGACGTTCGCGCACGCAAATTATTTGATTGTGTCGAGTGGTGCTGTAAGAGAGCCGACTACCTTCAAGCGTGTTTCAAGTGGTTTGCGTACACTTTGCAGCACACGTTGATTAAATTGCAACTCACAAACAGTGAGTTCAAAAGCACACACAAATGTTTTCCGCCGTTTTACATGCGGCGCGGCGCGGCGCGCGTGGAAAACGAACGAATTTCGCAGCGTGCGCAAACTTAAATTAGAAATTAACTTTAATTAATCACACTTGCACTCGCGTAACGCTAACGTTTAGTTCTGTGTAATTTAATTTCGAAAACAAACACATTGATATTGTTATTCAATCAAAGGTGGCGCTGTTGCACAATATATCATAACTTCATGTATAATATAAAATGAATTGCAAAATGTGCTGGTAAGCGCATAACTCAACAACGCCTACACCAATTTGGCCAATTCTTTTTAAAATTTTTGTTAATGTCCAAGGATGGTTTTACGGCGAGAAAAATTTGAATAATTGCCGGAAAACCCTAAAGACAACGCACTTTTCTATAGGATAAAAGTTGGCATTGAGATTCAATCATAGTTATAGTTAAATAGTTGAATCCGAGATGGCGCGCTGAAGTGCATTATTAGTTATTCTTTATATAACTAATTTGTTTAAAATAAAATTGCAAATCTTATTCATAGAATTAACTCATACTATGCCTTGAACAAGAGAGTAAAAACAAATTACATTTTTATTAAACACTACCGGGACGAAGTCGCGAGTCTAAAATAAAACTATACATTTTAAGTTATTATTTATTTATTTAAAAAAAGCATAAATAAGCATGAACATAAATAAATTAATAATAATTTAATGGTTGTCCAGGGATAAATCCAGGTTGACCATAGGTGTCCTTAACCTGTTCACGACGATAATAACTATCCGGAATCTGTGGCCTCTCCGGTTGTTGCGGTACCCTGATATAAACCGGGTATGGTTTTGGTACTTCAACCTTTACTTGCACAGGATACGGCTTGGGTACCTCCACTCTTACAGGTACCTTAACCTCAACTGGTACTCTTACTTCTTTTGTAACATGCACTGGATACGGTTGTGGTTGTGGTACATGCACGGGTACCTTCACTTCTTTGATGACTTGAACAGGGTACGGTACGTTCCTAGTCACTGGTACCTCTACTCTCACCGGGTATGGCTGTCGGACGTAAACTGGGACACGTACTGGTACTTCTACACGTACCGGAACTTTCCTTTCGACTTGTACGGGATACGGTTGGGGGACACGTACCTGCACAGGTACTTTCACTTCTTTTGTTACATGAACAGGGTAGGGTTGTGGTACTGGTACACGAATGTGTACAGGTACTTTCTTTTCGACGTAGACTGGGTATGGTTGGGGGACTTGAACGGGGACACGGATGATTTGAGGTTGTTGGGGTTGTTGAGGTTGTTGAGGGGTCCAGGTGTTCCATTGGTTGATTTGTGGTGGGGGCTGGTATCTTGGTGGGCCGTAGTAGTCTTGAGGGACAGGGCCTAATCCATGGATGAATCCAATTGTCATAAAAATGACAAAAATCTATAATAAAATTTAAAAAAAACATTATTTGTATAAATAATATAAATAATAACAATTATTGGTAATCTTACAGAAGCAAAACGCATTTTTCGATTTTTGTTGTACACTTTTGGTTAAACAAACTCAAACTGATGATTATATTTAACTTTTTTCATCTTTTATACTCACAAAAAGATAAATATTTCGAAACTGTTACATAATTTTCGTCACATAAAGAATGCATACATTTATTTGTTACATTGAGCAACGCATACAAGATTTATGCACAGTTTGCATTAAAACCATCTTCTTACCATTCACTATACACTCAATACCAAATAAAAATAAAACCAGTTTTATTTACTTACTATAAATTATTTAAATTGTTTTTTTTTTCCTCTGCGTGAATGATATTGGAAAGTGTGAAAATTCATATTTTCACTTTTTTCTTTAAATATGTATGAGCCAGTTTTTATTTGACATACGAGTAAAAAAAACACGTTTGTGACTAAAATACAAACATGTAAACATTTGTGATATGATATAACACTGCGCCAGAATTTATTGGATTTCTACAAAATGCAAAATCGTTCCGGCGGGAATTGTCAGCGAAACGTTTCACCCCGGCGAGGATATAAGAGTATTTACGATTCACGGGACGAGAGTGAATATTATGAGCAACGCGGAATAACGTTTGAAAAAATTGAACGAGAACAAATCCTTTTAACGTTAAACAAGCTTTACTTGCAAGACAAGCATGAAGCAAATAAGCTCAAACTGCTTTTTATTATTATTCTTATCTTTAGCGTAAATATAACCGTCGGAAGAAGAGTTTGTAACAAACATGAAGCTTCAATATATTATGTGAAAATTTTGAGAAAATTTTTGGTATGAATCTGAATAGATGATATTTTCTTATTCTATCAGATGGAAAAATAATTCCGGAATACGGAAATGATGTGTATTAGGGAGTGATAACACACATATGCGTGCGTGCGTGCGGGCATCATAAATCAATCCAACGCAGTTTTTTTCGTCGGGTTTGATGACTTAACGAGTCAATCGGTCGATCAAACACATCAATCTTGCTTTCATGGGATTTTATTGTTGCCAAACTGTTTAATTTACTATATTTCCATATTTTCCTCTTTTTTATTTCTTTTATTGCCTAAAAAGACATTTTTTATTATTTTTATAATTAAATATAGTAAAATATTTAAATATTACGTACTTTCTATTACAATGCATAATAAATCATGACAATAGAAATAAATTATTGATAAATCAATATATAATCCTGTGATTTATTAATTTTTCAATGAAAAAACGCAAATATTACGAATTCAAGGAATAAATAAAAGTGCATGCCATAAATCCAGCATGTATCGGTACTTACCTTCACTTTTTGCATCACCGGAGTTGACTCATAAATTTCCATTAGTTATGTTAATTATGTTGGTGTTGGCCACGTTGTGCTGGCAATTTTATGAGCGTTGGTGCAGGCGTAGGCGTAGGCGGTGCGCCAGTTAACCGAACGAGAGCTGCTACCTGTGCCAGCACATGCAAAACAGGGTGTAAATTTTAATTTGTTTAAGTACCGCGTAATGATTGTTCCGGATGCATATCGCATGATACATTTTGCATACACTTTCAGCTGGAAAATTGAAATATCAAGAAACAGTTGAATAGCAGTATACCTTTAGGTTACTGATTAATTGCTATTACTCGTGCATGAATTAGCATGAAACCACAATTGGATACATTTCTGAGTAATAATTCGTGTCTTTGATCATTGCGCATCGTGGATGGGACACGTATTGTGGTGCAATTTATACTTGAGCTTAAAACCGTTAATGTGCTTAACGTGCGCTTAATGCGCTTAACCCATCATTCTTCCTCGAGGGAGTTCGGTGCTTCCGGAAAAGCGGATCGGACACGCAGGCGAAAAGTGCATTATATTCAGCTTGATCTCTTACTTGTACTATGCAACTTCTTTTACAATTAGAATTTAGAAGAATGTAGAGTATATTGGGTTGCAGCAATTCAAAATATTCACAAAAAATAATTCATTTTGATATTTTTCAACATTTCTTTTCTAAAACACTAAAATTGAAATAATAAATGTTATTTAAAGCTAGAAATTTATCATATTAAATAAATACCACATCTTACCACTGATAAATGCCCGAATTACCGTGAAGCATTGCAAACTTCTACAACTCGAGTACTTAGCAAATATGACTGCAGGTAAACTTGGCGAATGCAATAATTTCAAAAAAAAACTTATATCACCAATAAGACGTTATCACGTAAACATCTCGATCGTAAACCTACTTTACAAGCAACCATTTTTTTTTAAATGTTCGTTAAAGTCCAAGGATGGTTTTCACGGCGAGAAAATTTTGAATAATTGCTGGGAAACACTAAAAACAGCCTTTTTCTATAGGATAAAAGTTGACAATGAGATTCAATCATAGTTATAGTTAAATAGCTGAATCCGAGATGGCGCGCTGAAGTGCATTATTAGCAATCCTTTATATAATTAATTTCTTTAAAATAAAATTGCGAATCTTATTGATAGAATTGACACAAAAAGAGTAAAAACAAATTTAGTTAATGTATAAATATTATTGTGTGATTTTTATGGATATTTTAAAGTAAGTTTCGGCTTTCTGAAAATTGAAGGTTATGTTGGCAGATGTCGAAAAGCACTAGGGAAGTAAAGTAAAGCAATTGAATTGAAGTTGAAATCGAAATCGAGGTCGAAGCGGGCTTCGAGGTGGAACTTTTCGGTTGGAAATGAAGGCGTCGAGCGACCTTGTTAACATTATGCACAAATAGGCTTCCCAAGGGATTTTTCTTTAATGGAGAAAAACTTGGAATAGACTAAATTTGTGTGAGTTTAAATTACGGTCATGTCATTTTATTAGTATCACGTTAGGCAACCAATTAAACACAATAGGCTGCGTGTTTTGGGTTTATTTCTAAAAGGAATTAAAAGTTGGGTTGTTGTCTGATAAAAGTTTGTTGTTTGGTGAGTTTTGTTGAGTAATTATCATTATTATACTCTGGGGAATCTTAAACAAAAATTAGCTTTAGAAATTTGATGTTTAAGGTCGGGGTTTTGGCTTTGGGATAATTTTAAACTTTGTGAGGTTAGAATTCAAAGAGTTTAGGTTATAGTATATTGAATAATACATTTTTGGAAAGGTTATTTATTGTTTAATAAAATATGTTAATTTGAAATCAATTCAGTTAGTGGCAGGCTAGTTATTTAGATAAATATAGTTTAAAGTTTTTATTGTTACTCTTTTTTCTTTCATAAACTTTGCGACCCCATAACTCAAACAGTTTTTGTTGAAAAATGACAAGTGAAGCATCATTTGAAAGATAATTTAATGTACAATAACAGAGCTAAATTTTAAATAATTATCTTAACTCATTATCAACTTATTAAGCAAAATAGCAGACAATGTTTATTATGATATAAATTGTTCTATTTCAAAAAATCAAAAACTTTGCGACACGATAACTTAAAAAGTTTTTGTTGTAGAATATTGAATGACACGTCATTAGAAAGAGAATTTAATTGTTAACAAAATATTTGAATGTGGAATACGTAACTGTAACAACAATTGTTTTACAAACCAAAAACAAATCAATTTTAAAATTCAATTAATATTTCTTCCTATTTCATCAGATTATATTATTATTAAATAAATATTATTATTATTGATTTATATACAAATTTATGCAATATCTATACAAATCCCTCCATGCAATGTCTGCAGACTGCACCAACAAATAGACGTGCATTAAATGCAGTGACTCGGCGTTAAGCGTTGAATTAAACGAGCTCTGCGCCGACATTGACTAATTTATTTCATCGCATCGTCGCTGGCGTCGTTTATCTTCAATCGTGCTCTCCTCGCATACTTACGTGTTGTCTGCAAAAATTACCATACACATAAACAACAAATCTTTTGTGCACCGCAACCACCGCAACCATTCCACCACAAATTACACTCCAGTTAGGTTAAGCGCATCACAATGACAGTAATACATTAGATTTATTTTATTTTTTCACCGTCAGATGGCGTAACTATGCAGTTTTGAAGTAAAAATACGCCAGTAATCAGTAAATGCTGCTCACAGCCACGTAGAAACGTAAAAAATACAGACATTCTTTATTGCACTTTCCGCTTTGCAAAAAGCAGATAAACTACGAGCTCGTAAACCAACGTCCTGACAACGTCTCGCACGATTTAACATTTTCTGCATTTTATATCTACGAGTATTTCGCATTAAGTTATCTGGCCTGGTTTAAAATCTCAAAAGAAAAACGCTCAAATTCACACTATTCACGCAATAAAATTCGCATATGTTTTATTTAATCGCTTAGAAGTAATTCTTAATCACATTTTTTATGAAAAAAACATAAATTTGTTTATCCCTACTAATATTATAAATGCGAAAGTCCTGATGTTTGTTACACTTTCACGCAAAAACTACTTAACCGATCATCATGAAAATTTGTACACATATTCTTAGTGGCCCCCGAATGGTTATAAGCTGCTTTTTATTTAATAAAAATAATTATTTTTTAAATAAAATAAAGAAATTGTTTAGCCAGTAATACCTCTGCATCTGCTCTGACTATAACGCCATCTAGCATTCCGTTAAATACCAGAAGCTCAAACTTATGGTACTATAGTAAGTAAAAATTCATCATTAACTGTATTATCACACTGTGTAACATCAAATCCAATTGACTACACTATGGAGACTGTACACTATACTTCCATAGACTATACTTTCAGCCATTTTAAACTTCCCGCCATTCTACTTCATTGTTACTTTTTCTGTGACTACAGACGGAAGCAACTTCATTATTTTAGATATTCGCGAGCGAAGCCGCGGGCTAAAGCTAGTTTAATCATATATAGCCAAATCCATGACTAAAGCATTTTAGTCACGGGGTGGAGTTTGCGCATGCGCATTTGTTAAACTTTCAAAAACTAAACGTGAAAATAAAGTGAAAGAAGCAAAAATAACGTGCGCGATGTGATGCGCTAAACGTTGATAAACGGCCACTTAGCACACTTGATACATAATCTACTATCCCAACTCAAGATATGTAATGTATTTATTCCTGCGCATTAAGAGTAAAATAGCGCTGATTGATGACGAAATTATTCCCTAATTCCGGGCAAAATGAATTAGATTACCTCTGCTTGTCAAGTCGTGAGTNTCGCCGCCGAGGCGTTATCCCGCACGTCTTCACGACGTCGGAATCTATCGCTTTTGTCCCTTTAGTCCCGCCATTCAAAAGCCCACGTCGTCCTTTCGTCCGTATTGTCTCAAACTACGACCGCCACCACCACCGCCGCCCCTTACACGGATTGTATCGCAGGACGTCTGCGGGGACGTCTAGTCGAGGCAAACATCTGCAGCGCGTTGGTTTTTCATCAGCGGAGCAAAGATTGCTTTCAGCATCTTTCCGGATGCTTCAATTTCTTTATGATGCACACAGAACTTAAAAACTGTGTGCACTTTTCACTCTCGAGAGGGTGCTTTCAGAGCACAGAGGATTGAGATGAGAAAAACTCATCGCGAAGAATATTGAGGATTTTACATGGACAATAAAAAAACTAAGAGACATGCGCACAGGTAAAAAGATTGAACCGTCCCGAGAGGACACTAATGGACACATCTTTTACCTGGAGGACTCTAGGAACTGAGAAATTCCGAGACAATTCGTGAAACATTTTCCGAATCATCAATCTCGACAAAGTAGACGTTAAAAACATGCTTTAGTAAATTTTTATACAAAACATAACCTTTCTCAAGAGGAAAATCTATTTTTTAGTAATTTTTTAATATTTTACTTATTTTATTACTAAAAATCGTTTTTATTCGATGTTTCACGTTTTATTCGCGGATTTAACCTCAAAAATTGATGTTTTGCTTAAAAAATATAATTTTTCTAATTCCACCTTTAAAACTCCACTTTTTCCACGGTTTTGAGAGACGAAAAGTGGTATTTTACTCATGGACGGCCAAAGCCGTGACTAAAGTACTTTACCCACGGGTGGATCTTCAAATACAAAAACTAAACGTGTAAATCCAGTGAAAATAGAAAAAATAACGTAATAATCACATTGCTAAACGTCGTTAAAGTGCAACTTAGCGCTCTAGATACTTAAAATACCATTAATCACCAATTTACGCAAAAAATCAGAATTTTAATCCAAAAACCTAAAATTTTATCATAAATCTCAACAATCAAGAAGTGAAAAACCTACTTTAATAAATTTTTAACCAAAACATAACCTAACCTCAAAGAAAATCTACTTTTTAGTAATCTAATTCTTTGCATTGTTGAAGAGCGTTATTCAAACGTGGTGAATTGATGGAAACCCCTAAGAATAGCGAATGCAAATGAGATCCTGATGAGTTTCTCTCCTGCAAAGGATCTAAAGCATCCATTGCTCAGTTTTCAGTTTTCTCCAACGTGCACGTTTCCAACTCTAGATAAACTGCACAGCAATGGCTGCTATTGCGAGGGAAACTGCGCTCGGAAGTTTTCCGCTTTCCGGTGGGAATGCAAGTGCAAGTAAGTGGAGGGACAAGTGCAGACCGCAGCATC